TATATATATATATATATATATATATATATATATATATATATATATATGTGTGTGGATTGAATATTTTTATTGTGAAATAACATGTTTAAAATCCTATGAAGAAAAGTGAGAAAACCTAGGCTTATAACTAGGTAAATGATTTAGTAAGATAACTTAGAATATAAAATGGATTAGATAGTGATGCTTGGACGTGATTGTATTGCGGTGTGTACAACGGAAAAGTAGTCATGTGATTGATGAATAATATGCTTTGTATGGAACATGTTGTGTTGTTATATGATTAAGGTGAATGTGATCACCTTGTGATTGTCGAATACAATCATGTTGTGTTTATGTCTAATCACGTATTTGGAAACAACCCTTTGATTATGTCGTCCCAAATTGCGATGCTTATATAAAGTAAGAATTGGGATGGACACAGGCATACTTGTTGACTTGGGTTGAATTCCAGAGGCGATGAATCCCTAAGTGGGGTGAGTCCCATACGAGTAGAGACTTGAAATGGGTTTGGAGTCCCATAGGAAGTGAAGATTCTTAAGGTTGATGTTATCCTTTAGAATCCAAAGTTCATTAATATTAAAGTATGAAATAGGTATTTGTGACCCTAGATGATAACCAAGACAGAGGACTGGTCAGGTAAAGATACCTATTATACAAGGATTCATGACCCGTGTCGAGAATCCTAGACGTAAGATTGGTCGAGGAAAGATGTCTTGGTTCGGTTTTCGAACTAGTGATTGTTTGAGTTTATGAAATCAAGAGACACGTTTCCATACATTGTGAGTTTTATGTGAACTCAAGTCTTATCCCCTTTTATGACTTAAGTTATGATTTGATTAGAACCAAGTAGAGTCGAGTGAACCCATAGGATAAGGGAACTCATTGAGATTATTAAATCACCCCAATATTATTGTTATTTTTTAGGTATTGTTTGCAAGTTTAGTATGCAAGAGGAGTTGTGCATTGATGTTTCAAGGGAAGCTTTTATTGTGATCTTCTGTTGTGTATATTGTATAATAACAGATATTGTACTTAGGTCTTAGATTTTTATTTTGGCACTTTCTATATCTTGTACCATATGTTTTCTATTTTGTTTTGTAATGGTCAATTATGCAAATGATGCCAATATACACTTATGATTGTGTCAGTACCAAATAATAACACTTGTAAAATGTTATTTTAGATATATAATTTACGGGTCGTTACAAACGACAATGATGACCAAAGAAACATCTTGTGTCTCATCAATAAAAGGATACACAAGCTCAAAGTGCTTATATCATCAGAAGTAATCTAGCAAAGAATCGTGAAAGTTTGAATAAAAGTATGAAAGTTCGCCAGGTCGTTTCTGTTTGTCTGCCTGAGCGACCCGAGTATTGTAAAAGTAAGAAAGCAGCTTTGAAGTACTAAGGAAAATCACGCGCACACACACACCTAATAATATCTTTTCAAATATTTTTATCCTGAAAATTATCTTTTAAAGCTAAGACAAGTGATTAAACTGTTGTCCAAACCTTTTTCAAAACTATTTGAACTAACCAATCAATTGGTAAGTTATGCCAATCGATTGGAAATACTTTTCTAAGTCAAATAATCAATCGGAGTGTTGAGCTAATTGATTGGAGAATAGTTAAGCAAGTAACCAAGGAATTATGACAACACATTAATGACTTACAACGACTATATATCCAATATTTCCTTTTTTTGCTTGCTAACATATTAAAAAGGATTTGACCAATCGATTGAAACTTTACGTCAACCGATTGGCTCATTAGATGGGCCCGTGGATCATTTTCTTTTTTAATTTGGTGTTTCTGACTCCTATATAAAGGAAAATTGCCTCCACTTAATTTCACACTATTTTTCAACGTTTTATATTTTCTCTGGAATTATCTCTCTCTCTCTCTCTCTCTCTCTCTCTCTCTCTCTCTCTAAAATAATTCTTTCACTTGATATTTCTGTAGTGCTTGTAAGTGAAGTGTTGCTTGTGAGGAAGAAATTTTGTAAGTGATTATGTTGTTTGTTTAACTCTTGAGAGTGTGATACTCAAGAGAGGATCGGGTTTCCTTGGTGAGATAAAACTGTCTTTAAATCTCTTTTGTTGTTTATTTTGATCTTTTTCGGAAAAAAATTTTGCTTACCTGAAAATCTCTAAGAATGTTCTACCTTAGCATGTGGTTAAAGTTATTTGTGGTTGGGGATAAGCCTTTAAAATTTTCAAGATCAGCTTGTATAAATGTTCGTGGGTATAATCTTCAAAGCTCAAAATTTATAGTTAAACTCTCAAGAAGACCTCTTAGGTACAAGACTAGACCAACATTCGACCAAACCTGTAAAAGTATCTAGTGCAATCTCTCTAACCCTATCCTTTTAATTTTTGCTATTTACTTTCAGTATATTTCCTCTGTAATTTACTTAACCCATAATTACTAACACGGTCTTAATCGAGAAAAGTATAAAATTAATCATGAATTTTAAATACCACAATTCACACCTTCCTTGTGGCTAAAGTCACTTGTCCAACAGATTTTATATACACTGGTTAACTTATATAAAATTTATTCGGTATTATAATCTTTTACCAAATAACTTAGTTTATAAGTTCTTTTAGTAGGTTTTATTTATTTATTTGGCAATGATATAAAAGACAATAGTTTGAAAACCGTTGCTGAAAGTGGACATACCACGTTTAAACCGTTAGCAAAAGTGGAAAGATCATGCGATCGTTGTCAAAAGTATATTTGATCATAGGGTGAATTAGAAAAACCAATTAAATCGAAAATAAAAAATAAACCAAACCAAAAAAAAAAAATCAATTTTCTAATTTAGTTCCAAAACCAAACCAAATTAATGAAAATCGAAGTGGTTTGATTCGGTTCTCGATTTTAATTTTTAAAAAACTGTTTTTTATTACGACAAATAAGGCAATAGAAACAATTTTCTTTACTTTAAACTACATTTTTTTTTATTGTTGTGTAAACTTTTTTTTTTTTGGTTGTAATCACTAAATAACATACCTATAAGTTATTATATAATACAAACAGAATAATTTAGTAGAAAGACTTTCAAATAATAGAGAACGTTTTTTTATTTTAGAACACAATTTTTAATTATTATCTAGAAAAATATAGTGATTGGATAACTTACTTATCGTTTGAAATGTAACTTTTATCTTTGTCTTTTATTCCAGTTATAATACCACAGTATTTTGATCAAGTCAATTAAATTGTAATGGTTGGAGTATAATTATTAGGATATGGATAAAATTTTCTACTCGTTGTTAGAGACAGTTTGGGCTGCAAGCTATCAATTGGGCAATACTGACTTTTCTCCTTTGAAATTTCAATATTAACTATCAACATCACACTAATGATAAAATCACTTTATTAAGATAATGTTTGGATTCTTTTGTTCCAACCTGTTGTGTGAGTTGTAATTCTCATTAAATTATTTTATTTAAAACTAAGATATGATATAGTAGTGGTGTATGACATGTGAGTATGAGGACTACATTATCTTATATTGTACATTATCTGTAAAGTCCAAATGTTACTTTGAGCCATTATTTGATTAGAATCACATATCAACTTTATAATCCAATAGCTGTCTCATAGCATTTTAAAATTTGAAACTATACCTGTTATATATAACACCAATAACTCTAACATTTTAGTTAAGAGTGAATTGCACACTATTATTCTTTAATAACTTATTTTGTATTACAAAAAAATTCAAATAAAAATTATATCAAGGTATGATGATCAATAACAGAACATGGAGGTGGATGCATGTGGATAATAGAGTAATAGTCTTTGGTCAAATCTGTGGCAATATTGAAATAATTTGATGCCAGTTGTATTGTGATCCAATAACACAATGCATTAGATCATTTTTTAAGATTATAAAAATTAAATTTATATTATTTAAGTTGGAATATATATATATATATATATATATATATATATATATATATATATATATATATATATATATATATATATATATATATATATATATATATATATATATATATATATATATATATATATATATATATATATATATATATATATATATATATATATATATATATATATATATATATATATATATATATATATATATATATATATATATATATATATATTTCTATTTAAATAGTGTTTAATCTTTACACTACAAGAAAATTGATATTAGATAGGATCATTTGTTAGGAGTAAACCTCCTCACTAAAAAATAAAGTTATTTGGGATTAAACTCCTCGTAATGCATAAAATATTTAAATAAAAAAGTGGGGTAACCCATCGCGAATATGGAGAAATTTTTTTAAAATTTTAAAATTGAAAGTAGTTAGTGGTCGCCCTCACAAACAGAATAAGAGTCAAAATAGATTAAGAAAGTTTGTCACTTGCGAAGGGATAATCCTTCGTCAATTTTATTTGTGTATTTAGCTAAGGGCTACCACTCACTAGTTGTAATGGTAAAGTCAAATCTATTATAAAAATTATTTATTTTTGCGGCCAAAACCTGTTGACATGTATGTGTCATTAATCTGCGTGTATGTCTGCATTGTAGGAGACTGAATTTTATGAGTTACAATTTGTGAGGGACTAACCCTCTAGTCAATTTTGCGAAAGATTTATCTCTTAACTATTAATTTGTGATGTTCTGATTAGTTAGGAGTCATATTCCCTTTTAAATTTGTGTTTTATAATGAATTTTTTGTATTGGAGAAAGGTATTTAATTTGTGTTTTATAATGAATTTTTTGTATTGGAGAAAGGTTTAACTACTAGCGAAATAAGTTTTTTTTTTTTATATAGTGTTAACTATTGAACAAGTGGTTATAAAATGAAGTTTTTTTTCATTAAAATAGATACATATCATGATGAAGATAAGATATACATCTCAAATCATTAAATAAAATAAAACCAAATTCAACAAAAACCAATAACACATAAAAGTAAAATGATGAATAACAATAATTGCACTGTCTCTTCCCTAGCCCATGAAACCCAAAACCAAAAACAAAGATCCCATCAAAACACCAACAGCATTGGAAACACTGACAGCTCCACTGTCCTTTGGTGGTGATGGAGAAGTTGAGTTAGTCTCAGAAGATGGAGTTGACGGTGTTGTTGATGGAGTGGGAGTTTTGGTTGTTGGAGGGGTGCCAGTTGGAGTTGGGGTGGTGCCAGCAGCAACAACATTGACTTCAAGTTTCATTCCAGCATTACAATGACCTGGTGTTGGACATATGAAGTAAATTTTTCCTGCTTTTGTTAATGGAACCTTTGAATCTCCATCTGCATAGTTCTTTATGGTGTTGCTTGAACTGCAACTTTTGTAATCGCTCTCATCCACTTCATTCACTTGGTGAGTTCCTCCATACTTGAACACTGAAATTTTCAACACAACAAATATTCAGTTCTGTAATATATATTTTTCAAGATGAAAAAGCATAGAGAAGGGAGTGTTAATTGGAGAGGATGCATACCTAAGTTATCACCAACTTTGAAAGTTTTTCCAGCAGTCCATTTAGTGTAATCAACCTGTTGAGTCCATTGATTAGCATCTCCAACAGTGTAATCAGTTGCAAATACACAAGGAAAAGCCAACAACAAAACCAAAAAAGAAGCAATCATTGATGTGTTCATGTCTATGAACTTTCTTTGTTCTCAAATTATAATGTAAGAAAATGTTTCTAGTGCCAATGACAAATGAAGTTATGAAAAGAGGGTTATATATAGTACTGACTCATTTGTTTCTATGTCACCAACTACTCTAAAATGATTTTAATTTAAATAATATAGTGAAGTGGTTATTGACATTTTCTATAAAGCCAGCTTAGTTCTACCTAATACATTGAGATTCTTTTCTCATAAAGCAAGATATAAAAACGTTGAACGAATTGGCAAGTGGCATTAGGACATTGCCAGGAAGCACGTATATATAATAGTGGGTATTATCATATCAAATGACCCACAATCAAAGAGAATAAAGGAAATTTCAAAATTATGACACTTGATAATGATTTTAATACAATACAAAATATTTTGAAATTTGTTGTGCGCGGTTTGCAAGGTTAGAAGGCAATGTTTTAAAAATCGAACTGATTATTAATAGATGAGAATGTTATGTTATTGATTTATTTGTTGCATCATTGTGTTAATAGTCGAATTTCATGACTAAATCCAATTAAATCAGATAATTTGTTTGAATAAATCAATTTTTATAATTAAGCTATATAGTTATTAAACCGATAAAACTGTATGACTTGGTCTCTAAACAAACTCTCGACACCTATATAATTTCAAAAATTTTAAAATATTATAATTTTACAAGTTGATTCTTTAAATTCAATTTCTAAACATAGTCATAACACACAATAAAATAGTACAAAATACAAATACAAATAAATTTTGAATAAAGTCTACTTACAACATAAAATGAATAACAAGGTGACTCTAAGTGTGCAATATATTTAATTCCAAAGAGAGAAAGGTGTTCCAAATAAGCTTTGGAAAAGTCTTCTTATATTTTTATTTTATTTTTTAAATTATAAAAAACGACGTCTTTTTGTTGGAGGAAAAAAAAGCAAACATATAACCCAACAATTTTTCAAAACTATCGGTTCGTCGATTTTAACTAGTTCTAGCCGGTTCTCATTGGTTCAATCGATCCAACAATTAGACCAAAGCGATAACTCATTCGGTTCCAATTTCAACCGATTTGACTGGCAATTTCGGCCTAATTTTTAAAACACTGCTAGTAGCAAAAGACACAAGAGCGAACTTCAAGTTAAAAAGAGCACATAATAGGTAGACATTCTCTTGGCTAGAAGCATATGATTCTGCCCTTCAACGCATTCAATTACTGTTTGATTCATTCAAGAGGTTTTCCCTAAAATTACTTTCAAAGGTTTTAAGATAAACTCTAAGCTCTTAAATCCTTTTAGAGGATTGTTAGTCGGTTTTTCGGGGGAGCAGGTGCAGGTCCTAGGATATGTCACCATTTTGATTTCTTTTTTGAAAAGAGGGAAGGACGAAAATAGATAAAGTAAGATATATTGTGGTAAACACTTTATCCCCCACACAGTATGATTGTTGGCCGATCGAACTTCAACGTTATAAAGGTCTCATTATCAACTTTATACCTAACAATGATGTTCCCTTTATGCAACAAACAAGTTAGGGCAGTAAAAGGCAACTATGAATTAGTGAGAAGATAGTACAAGCACCTTCCGAAGATGAGGAAAAAGGGTGATACATATCTCATATATTCGTCTAGCTCACACAAAGTCAACTACGTGGATCTAGACCCACAAGTTGACCCTTTGAAGGACATGTTAAAACCTACATAGGATTTGAAGCTCATTCAATTAGGCCATAAAAGCTATCAAACTACACAAATATGAACCACGTTAGCAAAAGAGGAGGAAATCAAGGTTGTATAACTGCTACAAAAGAATGTGGATGTACTCGCATTAGTGCCAAACGATATGCCCATAATAGATCCATATATGGTATGTTATCATTTAGCTATTAAGCTCAGGTTTAAACTTGTCGCACAAAGGAAGCGCAAAGGAAAGGAAGATAAAAGAGAGGTCATCTCAGAGAAGGTGATGAAATTAAAGGAGGTTAGGTTCATTCAAAAGATCAAATATCTAACCTAGTTAGCTAACGTTGTGATACGGAAGAAGTATTTTTGAAAATGGAGAATTTTTTGATTTTATCACCCTCAACAAAACATGTTCTAAAGATCTATATCATTTAAAGGCATTGACAGGATAATCGATGGTGTCGTATGGTTCTGTTAAGTTTTATGGATGCATACTCGGGTGACAATTAAATAAATATGAACCTATGTAATTTTCTAAAGACAACGTTCATGATCAATCACAACTATTTCTACTAAGAGGTCATGTTGTTTGGCTTAAAAATGTCGAGGCAACCTATAAGAGATTGATGTCTGACCGATAAATTAGCAAGTGTACTAAATTTTACCGATGTAGTAATAATTAGGGTTTTCCCAATATCGATCTCTGAAGACTGCGTGTAAATTTTCAGGTACACGTTATTTCAATCAAATAAAATAACATTGGGGTTTTTAACAGGAAAAAGCAGAATGATAAAATTATTTTAACGATTAAGAGAAAATACGCTAGGGGAAGTGTATGAATTGCTTAGTACGAACCCTGTAGTATATCAACGAGACGTGTCTCATAACCTTAATTTTTATTGTACCTCAAAAGTGTTTTTCTTAAATTCCTTAACTGAAAAACCTTTGATATTCTTCCTTGACACTAATTCCTTAGCAGTCAAGGAAAGACATCAAGCAATAGTTCTGACAAAGGCTTTTTACAATCATTACAGGATATCGCTATTCTAAGGAAATATATATTATAATGTGTTATACAAAATAATCGATTGGTTTTTCAGGCCAAATACCTAATCGTAAATCGTTTTCAATTTGTACGATCTTTAAAAGTTTAAACGTTTTACATAACAAAAATATTACGGAAAGAGACAAAATCTCATTAAGAAATGCAACAGAGGTTCATTACAATACAATTGAGGGATACCCCCTAGAAATGAGGGGTTTAGCTATGCATATTATTCAACAAAAACAACATAGAAAATAGAAATATTACAAGACTTGGGGAATAAAGTTGATCTTCAATTTCTTCCGATCATGAAAATCTCCTAATCTTCCCAATTCTCCAGAGCATCCCAATTTCAGTTGTATTTTCTTCGTACGATCTAAAGTTCTCTTTCGCTTTCCAGAATCACATCTAATAGTATCAGATCAATCTTTTCCAATTGCAATTAGTAAAATGAGTAGATTTTACTAGCAATCCAAATGGTGAGCACTAGGAGGTCATCATTAGGAATTTTGGATATCTAATGAAAACCAAAAATCTCAGTCTACATTATAGTAGATTTTCTGCCATATTGGAAGGATATACCGATGCGAGTTAGATATTGAGTGTTGAATATTATAAATATGCATTTGGATGGATAGTTACACTAGTCGGGGGTGAAATTTCTTAGAAGAGCAAGAAACAAATGTGGATTACTCTCTCAATCATAGAATCAGAGTTTGAGGCTCTTGCTTCCGCTAGTAAAAAAGTTGAATGGTTGAGGGACCTTCTATTGGAAGTTCCATTGGCTAAAGGCAATGTTTCAAAGGTGTTGATATATTGCGGTAGTCAAACCACTTTAACTAAAACATACAAAAAGTATATAACAGATAGTCTAGAAAAGTAAGACTTAGACATTCTTTCATGAGAAAATTGATTAAGGATGTAATCATTCACATATATACAATCGAGCTATGATTTTCTTGATCTATTTACTAAGCCTCTGGCCAGAGACTTAGTAAAAAGACAACCTCGAGAGGCATGGGGTTGAAACTCCTTGAGTAAATGTTCCGGCAGCAGGAGCAACTCAATCTTACGATAACAGAACATTAACCTCAAGATTCAATGGATAACAACAAGTCGTTAATTTGGATATTTGTCGAACATTTCTTGATAATGTTGAACTTTAAAATGAGTAAACTCGTAATGAAGTTCAATACTGAGGGTATGTGTCTCATAGGAAAGAACACAATATAAACTTCACCTATGTGAATTTCGAGATTGTCATATCAAAGTGAGAGTTGGACTTTCTCTCACGAAAAATTCATGAAACAGGAAAGCATATGGTTATAAATAAGTGATAGGCGAGATATGTAGGTGAAAAATCCTTAAAGAGTGTGTAAGGTAACGTCGGTCTAATCATATGGATTAATGGTTTAAAAACATTGTTATCTAACATTTCGATTAGACTTTGAGTTGGCCTCACCAAGGTTAAGTTTTAAATCAAAAGATATCTAACTTTATTAACATTCTTTATACCTCTTTTTTTGGAATTAGGCTTGTCATTATTAGAACAAGTAGGAGATTGTTGAAAATTATGGACAATCAATGCCTATGGGAATGTTCCAATATGACAAGAAATTATTCAAGTGACGATTAATTTTGATTTCAGAAATATGCAACACTTGTGAAGTGTTACAATAATAGGTTTGAATTCAAAAATAGACAACACTTTGTGAAGTGTTGCATAATGAAAGAATGCAACTCTTGAAAAATGTTGCAGTATGTGAAACAATGTAACTTTTAAAAAAAAGCGTGTAACTCTTGGTAAAAGGAAATTGTTTCACCAAGGGTCACGACTTAGTGAAACGACACAAATATGGTCTATAAATACTTCATTCCGGATTCAGAAAAATATAACAAACAAAGAACATACATCTTCTTCACTTAAATTTCAGACACTCTTCCTTACATTCGAGTATTCATCAGTCTTGCGCAAACTAAAATATAGGCTGAATTATACTAGATATTCCTGCGTTTCAACTTTAAAACATTTGAGAATGTTCGGAATACTTTTCTTAAAAGTGATTTCGTTCACGATTCTAATCTCGGTCCATTCGATTTATATTAATTGTCTAATATATATATATATATATATATATATAACTCAAATTCAGAAATGTTTGATTCAATTTTAAGCATATATGGATAGATCAAGACTTTAAGAAAATTTCAATTATGAAGTGAATAATTATTTGATTGCTTACTTTTTATTCTTATTTTAGTCATTTCACGAAGTTTCTCCTCTTTTTACTTTTTTTGGAAGCCTTACCGTTGAATAAAATGAATAATATTTTGAAAGACAAAAATGGAGACAAACAGAAGTAGCCAAAATTGGCACGACAGTCATTGGATGTGTGCTGCAAGTTGTATATCATCTAGCGTTTGGAAGCCTCGAAGAACAAGCAATATATTTTTTATATATATAATATATGTTCAGGGAATAATAAAGTCTATCATAGTTTGTGAAAATGTTTTATTCTAACTTTTTTTTTTAGGATTTCATGAATCTTGTTAGTAAAAGTTATTAAAAGCAACAAGTTACAAAAATAAAAAAATTTAGATGTAGTTGTTTAACGAATGCTAATTATTAATATTTTCATAATTTTATTTACAAAACATTTCAAGCAATTAGTTTACATCAAATTATAACCATAAAACAAAATTAATTGAAATTCTAGATACTAATTCATATTACAATGTATTTTTCTTAAGAAGAGGAAATAGATATTTTACTTTTAGAAAGGTCGTTATATATGTCATTCTATTTTAAGCACGAACGACCGTTATAGAACAGAAGACAACATAGGAATATGGGATCTGATATATTCATTAGTATTTTTGTATTATGAATTATGAATAATATTATGGTTTGTAACTTGTTATTTTGATAGTATTATAAATTTTGAATTGATTCTAATATATGATATTTTCATTTTATTATATTAGTGTATCGTTGAATTGATACAAAATTTATTATGATAGTATAGTTATAATAAATGGTCTATTACATCAGTTAATTTCTTAAAAATTGTCAAAATTTATTAACTAAAAATGATTATAGAATCTAGACTAAATTATAGTAAAATGATAGTATGTCTCAATTACGAATGTATGAATACATGTAGGATTATTAATTGATTATAAAATCTGGACTAAATTATAATAAAATGATAGTATGTCTCAATTACGAATGCATAGGTGCATGTAGAATTATTATGAAAATGTATTTTTAGAATAATTTTAAAAAAAAATAAAAGTGTGACTCAGTTACACATAAATTTAGTGTAAATGAATGCTTTCAAAAAGATAAATGAAAAAGCATATTTGGATTATATTTGGATTTAGATAGGGTGGTTCCTCACCACTAAGATGAAAGAGGTAATGCTCTAAATATAATCAATGAATTTTTTTTATTGATTTATGAGTAACATAGGGTGACTCCTCACCACTCATGACGAGAGAAGTAATGTCCTAAAGATAATTCATGAGAAATTTTAATGAATGATCGATAACAATAATAATTGTGTTGTATAAATTCAACAAAAACCAATAGTACATAAAATCAAAATGACTATTAATAACAATAATTGCACTGTCTCTTCCCTAGCCCATGAAACCCAAAACTAAAAACAAAGATCCCATCAAAATACGAACAGCATTGGAAACAGTGACAGCTCCACTGTCCTTTGGTGGTGATGGAGAAGTTGAATTAGTCTCAGAAGATGGAGTTGATGGAGTGGTTGACGGTGTTGTTGGAGGGGTGCCAGTTGGAGTTGGGGTGGTGCCAGCAGCAACAACATTGACTTCAAGTTTCATTCCAGCATTACAATGACCTGGTGTTGGACATATGAAGTAAATTTTTCCTGCTTTTGTTAATGGAACCTTTGAATCTCCATCTGCATAGTTCTTTATGGTGTTGCTTGAACTGCAACTTTTGTAATCACTCTCATCCACTTCATTCACTTGGTGAGTTGCTCCATACTTGAACACTGAAATATTCAATTCTGTAATATATATTTTTCAAGATAAAAAAGCATAGAGAAGGGAGTGTTAATTGGAGAGGATGCATACCTAAGTTATCACCAACTTTGAAAGTTTTTCCAGCAGTCCATTTAGTGTAATCAACCTGTTGAGTCCATTGATTAGCATCACCAACAGTGTAATCAGTTGCAAATACACAAGGAAAAGCCAACAACAAAACCAAAAAAGAAGCAATCATTGATGTGTTCATGTTTATAAACTTTCTTTTTCTCAAATTATAATGTAAGAAAATGTTTCTACTGCCAATGACAAATGAAGTTATGAAAAGAGGCTTATATATAGTACTAATTCATCTGTTTACTATGTCACCAACTACTCCTGTTGAATTTATATATAAAATAGTGAAGTGGTTAATTGACAGTTTTTATAAAGCCACCTTAGTTCTACCTAATACATTTTGATTCTTTTCCCATAAATTTTGACTTGGCAAGTGGCATTAGCACATTTTCCAGGAAACACGTGTGGAATATAAATATCACATAACCCACAATCAATTTGGGAATAAGGTAGATTTCAAAATTTTAACACTTGATTATTATGAACTTTTTTTTAAATAACCTATACTTTAATTTAAATTTTAAAATAATAAAATTTTAAAAATATTTACAATAGTCGAGGGTTGCTGCCAACGGCGCTTCCGTAATTCAGTTTCATGTCCATGTTTTCGAAGTTGGGACAGAGGGGTTGAGTTGGGCGCAGACGGTATGGTTTGCCGAATTTGTACATTGAATCGTTTTGGAAACTATACAATGGTTGTTGTGGGTTAGGTAGTCAAATCGTGGTTGGGTATTTTGGTGGTAGGACGATTGTGTGTTTATTTAAGGGAGGCTATGGTGGGCTAAAGTGGAGTTGAAAGAGTTATCAGGGCTATAGGTAGATGTGGTGTCAATGTCGGGAGATTGCGGTAAGGGTAAGGCTCTTGTAGTTGTGATTGGATGTGTGGCATGAATGGGTTGCGGTTCTGGAAGATTTATTAGGTGGGTAGATATGGTTAATAGGTATAACACGGTGTTTGGTGTTGGGCAGGTGTTTGTTGTTGTGTGTATGAGGAAGGAGCATGTTGGCGCGGATCAATCAAATATGTCGACTCAGACACAAATTATTGTGTTGTTCTAACCGACCTAAACCAAATCATATATTGATGACTTGGTCTAGCCCCTTTCACAACAGGGTCGTTTAAGATGTGTCGATGTCGATTCTTCCAATGTCGACACATCTCTTTTGCAAAGTCTTTCGGGAACATCGTTGGTAATTCATTCCTAAAACTGACCAACTAAAAAAATTGACATAAATAAATTAGTTGCAAAGAAACGTTTCATCAAAGTATACATGTTTGAAATTTAGAAATAAACTTACTTGTTTGCGTAGGGGAATGTGTATGGATGCGGGTTGACCAGAGCTAGTGTCGGCATTCTAGACCAACCACATGCTTGAAGTAGAAAGGTGCAGCCATAAAAAATACAAGTATTTTTTTAAAAATTTTACACAATGAACTATATAGATGGGCAGAACAGCTAAACCCCATCTATAAGTGCATACTTTATTAATGCGTAACAATGATAAATACATAATATTTACAGTATTTTCAGTACTTTCTGAAAATAAAAAATATCCAAATAAGATCATAATAAAGCATTGAGTTTTAGTTATCTTGCCATACTTGGTGGATTCCTCGTTTAATATGATAGTATTATAATATTCTCTTAGGTATTTTAAATTAATACCTTGACCCTTTGGTTGACCTGCACGTTGTGGATGAGGTGTTTCCTCACAAAGAGGTGCACCCAATAAATCTTTGAAAATTTGATTATTAACACCAACTTTGCCATTAACAGCCTTACCGTCGATGCGTAGGCCAAGTAACCTAAGACATCTTCTAATGTGATAGTGCATTCAGCGAAAGGAAGGTGAAATATGTGGGTCTCTGGTCTCCAACGTTCTAGCAAAGCTAAAATAAATTTGGGGTCAATCGAGTACAAAGTGATTTTTATCAAATTACCGAAGCCACACGATTCAAAGTATCATTATAGGAATGGGTCGTGAGGTATGTAGTCATGTACACGACAACGAAACCTTATTACATTCTAACAAAGCATATAAATAACATTAGTTATAAAGAAAAAAACAACTAAGTAAGGGGAGACAAAACAAATAAAGCAATACACTTACAAATTTTGCTATGTTCTCAAATGTTCCTCTGTGATTGTTACCCATCATGAGTAGAGACATTTTTAGTATTGGTATAAAGGTAGGTTGTAATGAATTTGTTGCTTGTTTGTTGCAAGTTTGATGAGAAGAGTTTCTGCTTGCTAGAAAATTTGAGAAGAAGAGTTTGTGATGAGTATATTTATAACAGATTAAGTGTGTTCACATGAAATTAGGTTTTGCATGTGAAATAAACATTGTCGTCATATGGTATGGCGCATGGAATGAAAAATATAACACATACGCCATATGAGATGGTGCATGAGTTGTATATTAACACTTACACCATCTGATATGGCACCTTCTCTAACGCATGTAAAGAGAAACAAATGTGTAAGGAATCTCTGGAATAGTGTAAGAGATTATTGGTCATTGTCATGCAAAGAATCTCTAAGCATTGTATGTGAAGTCATTCAATTGTCATGGATGTGTAGTCTTGTAACAAGAGAGTATCTTACAAGATTCGTGAGGCATGCAAGACAACATTTTTGTCTTTATCACCTTATTGGTTAGTTCCATTATGACTTTATCTCTTACAAGATTTGTGATGCATGCAAGAAGTGTGGCATTATCACTTTAATGTCTTTGCATGTGACATTAGGATAGGCTTGAAGACTACTATTGTAGGCATGTGAGACTATATGGTAGTTTGTAAGACTATTATAACTTGTAAGCATAATTGAAGACATGACTAATGCATGGAAGATGATAAAAAGATATAAAGGAAAACAAGACTAATGCATGGAATGTGATAAGAAGATATAAATGAGATAACACAATTACATGAAAAAAGATATACAATGATAATTGAGACAAAACAATAATATATTCAAACTATATGTCTATTAATACACTTGAGATATATATATTTTATTATCATATCATTTAGTAACATATACTTGAGATATACACTAAAAAAATTGCCAAATAATTCTTCCAAACACGAGTTTAGTAACATATTTGTTATGACTCGAACACCACAATACAGGATCAATGCACATCTCAGTGGTGAGATATTTGAATGTACCATAACCAGTTTCAATTTTCGAAATACAGAAGTTACTAGACTTTCAATTGACAGAAGATCAAATTTTTTACATTTGAAGGCGAGATTAGAATAGAAATTACAATGTGGTCTAGTTGAGAAAATCATCTACAAGAATCCTGTGTTTTTTGACGGGCACAATCAATGCAATTTTTTTTAATTAAAGGCTTTGCATACTTTAAACCTATTATTCAAATTGATGGAACATAGTTGTACGGGAAATATAAAGGCACGCTACTCATGGAAGTGGCACATGATGGCAACAATAACATTTTTTCAATCGCCTTTGCACTAGTTAAGGGGGAAACTGCTGGGGGTTGGAGTTTTTTCCTAAAAAATCTCTGATTGCACGTGTCTCCCCAACCTAAATTATGTTTGATTTCTGATAGACATCCATCAATCGAGAGTGCATACAAGAATCTTGATAACGGTTGACAGGATCCTCCATCAACCCATGTTATTGCATAAGACACATCGCTCAAAACTTTATGAGGGAGATCAAGGACAAAACGCTATGGAAGAAGGTTGTGAATGCAGGGTATGCACTAACAGAGCCTTCCTTCAAACACTATCGTGACAAAATCAGATTGACAAATGCAGATACATTAAGATGGATTGGTAATATTCAACTAGAGAAATAGACCAGGGCATACGATAATGTCCAACAATGGGGCCACATGACAACAAACCTCGTTGAATAAATGAACTATGTATTCAAGGGCATCCAAAACCTATCGATGACCGCTTTGGTAAGGGCAGCATATTTTAGACTCATGGTACTTTTTGAAATCAGACGTACAAAGTGGAGTTCTGTCTTACAATCTGGGCAGTTGTTCAGTGATAGTTCAATGAAATTCATGAAGGACGAAGCTGTCAAAGCCAACACACATGTGGTCACAATGTTTGATCGTAATAGAGGTTGGTTTAATGTTTCAGAGTCAATTGATCATAATCAAGAGAGGCCTAGGGGATGCTACTGATCAGAACTAGATAGGAGTTGGTGTGACTACGGAAAGTTTCAGCATTTCGTATGTCTTGCTCCCATGTAATAGCAGTATGTTCAAAGGCTCTCCAAGACCCAAACAACTATCTTTTTGTTTTTTAGCAAGTCATTTGTCTATGCAATGTCTACAACACTAGCTTTCAGGTTGTAGCAAAGGAGGACTATTGGTCTGCATACGAACGCGAAATTGTCTGGCATAATGATCTGATGCAAAGAAAGAAAAAAGGGTCGCTCTAATAGCACGCGTATTCGAACGGAGATGGATACGGCAAACAAAATGGTTAGATTATGTAGTTCGTGTTGTCAGCCCGAACACAATCGTACAAAATGTCCCAATGTAGGATCAAGCACAAGATCATAGCCAAATATAGCATTGTCTCTTTATATCACCAACAAATTTTATTCCATTGATAGCATAACAATGCGATTACAATTAATAACTTAAACAAACATAACTTAATATCTCAACAACAACAATTATCAATAACTTAAACAATAAAGAAAAACAGCTCAAAAATATAACTAAGAGATTACAACTAGCAACACATTTTCCTGAGAACCAAACATCATCCTTGAAAAAAATATAATCGAGGCGCCATATCATATGGCGCATGTATTCATTCTTCATATAAAGAGGTGTCATATAATATGACTTATACTATTTATATAAAACCTATGCGCCATATGATATGACTCATACTATTTATATAAAACATATGCGCCATATGATATGACTCAGTTTAAAATCAAATTTATGTGTCATATCATATGGCACATCCTTGTTCATTTTTTTTACAAAGTATGCCACTTTGGTAAAAAAAAAATCAAATTATGATTATTTTAGTATTTTAATTGAATATATATATATATATATATATATATATATATATATATATATATATATATATATATATATATATATATATATATATATATA